CTATATGCTTATGAAAGTTTGATATTGGAATTCATTGAAAATGAAACAAATGACTTTAAGGCAGTTTTTAATGATTGTTGAGAATACCATGGAAAGGGTATGTAATGAATGAGAAAGTTTTAAGGAGAACTGCAGTTACAAAGAAACATTTGCAAACAATCAGAAAGGGAGCACTGATATTTTAGGGGACACATAGTGAAGAAAGAAGGTTTGGAGAATTTAATGCTCACAGGATCATTAAGAGGAAAGAGGAGCAGAGAAAAATCAGTAAGAGGAACAATGCACAATACAAGCTTACGTGAGTAAATATTTGGGAGTGTTTTAACAGAAGACAGAAAATGCAACACCAAAATCTAAAGGCACATTGGAATAGCAAAAGACGCCTTCCAAAAGCTAAGAAAAGAGTGCTAAACTGCTATGTAATATCAATCCTCTTTGGCAGTGAAAGCTGGACAATTATTTTAGGGGACTCAGATCAGTATACATCTGATGAAGGCCAAAGAGTACAATGGCTGAAACATTGTGATAAAGATAAGGATAATAGTCGTCATTCAAATAATTTTTCACAAGGGAAGAAAAGACTTGAGGAAAAGAGGTGTGGTTACACAGAAGGATGCTGAGAATACAATTGACAGTGCATATAAATAACATGGAAGTTTTAAGGAAAATGGTGGTTGAAACTTATTGGACACATAATGAGGAAAAAAGGCTTGGAAAATTTGACACTCATAAGGCATGTTGAAGGCAAGAACGACAGTGGAAACAGTGAGTAACCTACATAAGTTTGTGTAAATGAATGGCAGATCAGTGAAGGGGTGGGATAGTAAAACTAAAAACGATGCTAAGAGCTACAAAAGATAGGAAGTAGCAGAGAGCCATGATCATCCCTGGTCTGAAGGGACACAGCACACAGAACAATTTTTCTGCAAATAGATGGAGGAACAGGTACCACAAAGATGAAAAGAAAATCATAAAAAGAGAAAGTAGTGCTAAAAGTAACAAAAAGAAGCTGTGGAGAGTCATGATCCTTAAGAGACAGGTCAGAGAGAGAGAGAGAGAGAGAGAGAAATATGGAAAATTCTGAAGTGTTATTGTGTTTGTTGATGAAATTATTATTTTTTTTTTTTCTTGTATTGAATATTATGAAAGTAGAAGGAAAAATACTGTAATCCTTTGTGATTAGATCATTAGTGAGTATAGCTGGCCACTCATATTCAAGGATACCTGTCTGATAAGGTGGCTAGCTTAATCCCTATTGCAGACTCTTGCTCAGGTGCATTTGTGTTTATTCAACACCCACAGAACCCACCTGTGGTTTATACTAAAACTATGCTGAGCAGACCTTAGTTACAGTTTCTGGGAAAGAGCGTGTTATCTAGCGTGATCAACAATTTTGAACAAGGCCAGCACGCTCAAGCTCTCGGCCACAATGACTTGTAACTTTGTGCTAGAACCACTAGTGAGTATAAGACAGTTAAAAATGTAGAGAAATTCCAGGGAAGAAAATGCACCTTATTTTAGAGAAAAAAAAAAAAAAAAAAAAAAAAAAAAAAAAAAAAAATCCAAAACTTGTGAAAAGGGAAGAAAAAAAAAAACAAAAAAAAAACAAACAAACAAAAAACAGGATAGTTTGTATTTTTTTTTTTTTTTGAAATCATAAATTAATATTTTTGCTTTTGAACGATTTTCAGTTAAAAATGCAGAGAAATTCAAGGGAATAAAATGCACCTAATTTTAGAGCAAAGAAAATGACCAAAAGTTATGATAAAGGAAGAGAGAACAAAAAAAACAAAAAAACAAAAAAAAAAAAAAAAAAAAAAACAAAAAAAAAAAAAAAAACAAAAACAAACAAAAACAAACAAAAAAAACAAAAACAAACAAAAAACAAAAAAAACAAACAAAAACAAAAAAAAAAAAAACCTCAAGAACCTAAAAAAACAGGACTCATAAATTAAATATTTCTGCCTTTGATTTTCAAACTCGCATAGGTGTTTAGACTAAAGGAGATTTGAAAAAGTACAAATCTATACAGTCATTGAAGAAACATTATGAAAGATTTATTTCCCCTTATTGCAATAAGTCATTAGATAGATTAATATCCCTCCAATAAACAACTAAATCCAATTTGACTATATTTTATCCATTTTGAGTCCTAGATAAAATGGGATTGAGTTCAATACTAAAGCACAGTAGCTATACAGTAAGTATTGTATCAATATTACCAATATTTTAATAGTGGTTCTAAAATTCATTTAATTCATTAAAATCATTTTTAATAATTCTATTTTTATAATTTTTATATTTTAATAAATAAATGTTTTGCTGGTAAAGAGAAGTGTGTGAATGATGAGAGCAAGCAGTTTAAACATTTGAAGGATTGATTGGTTTATTATTGATATTGTTGTATAATCAATACAATGTTTTGTGTGAATGTTTTGTTTTTCATTACTGTATACTGATTTTTGCATTACCCTGTATAAGGCGCAGCAGACTTTTAGAAGAAAAAAGCCTGTGTCTTATACACACAGAATTATGGTAATTGCATTTTTAATAAAGAAATAAAAAATAAATATTTTTGTGTCATTAAAATGTCACAAAATAATGTCTTAAACTTTATTTGGAATTTATATTACGAGGGAAAGTTCTCGGCCTTACTAATAAGTAATTAAAAAAAAATTCTCGTTTCGTCATTTGATCATATTTTTGGGTGGGGGTTGGATGGAGAACATTTTACTACATGCTTCTAAAACACAAGTAAACCTTACCATCATTTAGTTCTGGATGGATCAGAAATGTTGTGGATTACATTCTTTTATGTACCATATCCCTTCAGGACATGGACAATCATGGCTCTCTGCAACTTCATGTCTTTTGTAGCACTTTATAAATTTTGGCTTTTACTTATCTCTCTTAAACCTTGTTCCACCAACCATTCATTCAAGCTTAGGTAGGTTATGTGTTGTTTTTATCTATCCTTATTGTTTTCAATCTGTCCTGTAAGTATCAAATTCTCCAAGCCCACTTTCCTCATTATGTGCCCTAGAAATTTCAACTGTGTTTCTGATGTTAACTATAAGTTTCCTTTTTGTTTACATTTTCTCTAAAACTGTTTCATTGCTCTCATGTTCGGTCCATGGTATCCTTCTGTTGAACAATATTTCTGTTGCTTCAAGTCTTTTCATCTGTGAGGAGATTGTCCAGCATTCACTGCCATATGAAGACTAATATTATATAACATTTTGGTACTCTTTTTGTTTCTAATGAAATTTTCCTGTTTCTTAATACTTTGCTTAGCTTTTGGAAGGCATCTTTCATTATCCCAATTCACCCTTCGAATTTCAGTGTTGCATTTTCTGTCCTCTCTTTAGAGATATTTAAATTTTTGTATTTCTTTGATCTTAGTATCCCCAATTTGTAATTTGCAGTTGGGCTGCTCCTTTTGCTGACAACCATGCATTCTGTCTTCTTACAATTGATGATTAGTCCTTTCTTCTCGCTTTCCTTCACTACCTTCTGTAGAAGTGCTTGTAGTATCATTTGTCTGCTATCAACATTGTGTCATCTGCATAACTTGTTAGATTACTAGTAGATGCATGAGCAAAAAACATGGATCAAACTTGTCAGTAATGGTCAAACTAATATATATAAGTTACATAAATCAAATGGCCAGATATAAGCAACTGTATATGCACGTGTTGGTGTGCATACACAGCCAAGCAAATAAATAATCATCAAATTTATTCATGAGGTGTAAACATGACAGTGCTCAATGTGGTTAGACAGAGAAAAAATATATATTAATAAATATACATAAGTTTTGGTATGTGACTTAAGTTTTTCTGGTTTTCCAGCTCATCGGACACAAAGTATATCTTACATTTTTATAAAAATACACAGCTGTCACATGGGAGGAACACGGTTTCATAGACCAAAAATAAAATAGTGCAAAAGATGCAGGAAATGAAGTGTAGGTAGGGTTCATTTTTTTAAAAAGATAAAAAATAAAGGAAAAGAGAAATTTCAAATTATTACTGGAGATTCTGCTATAGTTCTGATATGGTAATGCTCACCAGGTTAAAGGGAGATAAGCGGGTATGAAACCTAAAGCTTAATAAAAGAAGAATATATAATAACAAAAAGGAATTTAATATGGCTTATAGTATTTTAAGAGAGACCATTTTCTGAGTCTACAGGCTATCATGAGTTTGTTCTGCTTATTAAGTAGACCTACATTGCTAATATTTTTGAGGATTAATTTTTTTCTAATAGATATAGGTTGCATCTCGTCTCCACCTGCTGGAAAATGGCTTGGTTTGGGCTACAAATTCCCAATTTACGTGAAGTGTGTAGGCATCTGTTTTGATGCTCCTGTAAAACTTAGAGAGTGTTGTGGTGTTTAAGGGTCATTTTGTGATGATAGAAACTTTTTCCAACTATTAGCGGCAGATCCGAAATAAAATTTAATCTGGTCATTGTGCTTGACGCTAGCCTTATAGATAACTCCTTTATCCATGCATTTACCATTCATGAGACAGAGGGTACCCTTATGACAATTACATTTTTGATCATCAGGGCTACCATTGCTACTAGTGCTGCTTAAGTATTTGTTAAGGGTCACACTATTATGTTGGGCTAAATATTGTTCTGGGTTTTTAGTGCAGCTGTAGCTAACCTTAATGTTGTTCTTGGTGAAGATTTTTTTTGTGTGTGTGTATTAAGACATTAATAACTATGAATGACAAGGCCGTGAAAGGTGAAATATTAATAGAAAGAGAGTGAGTGAAAGAAAGAGAGTGAGAGAGAAAGTGAGAGAGAAAGTGAGAGAGAAAGTGAGAGAGAAAGTGAGAGAGAAAGAGAGAGAGAAAGAGAGAGAGAAAGTGAGAGAGAAAGTGAGAGAGAAAGTGAGAGAGAAAGTGAAAAATAACTTTCATGGTCAACCCTCATAAAAGTCTGAATGTGAATTATAGGAATGACATTAATTATAAATTTAAAATACTTACCTTATGCGATGATATTCCATCAATGCTGACCACATAGCCCACACCACACGAGTCCTTTTCATACTGCGGGTCATAAAGTCCCACTCTCCCACCATTTTTGGAATCCATCTTGATTCCAAAATAAAAAAAAAAAATCAAATCTGCTTTTCAAGGTTAAAAGTCGTCAGCAAAAGAAAGCTTTTTTTTTCTAAATAAGTTGGAAGATTTCAGGAATTTCTGTTCTTTTGCAATGTCTTTTTTCTTCTGTTTTTGTAGAATTGCTTTTTTCTGTCAAATCTGAAAGAAAAAAAAAAGTTATTCAAATTTGCAGTTTGATTATAATTAAAAAAAAAAAAAACAATACATGAAAAAGGCAATTCCCATGCGGGGATGGAGATAGAGAGAAAGAAAAAAGGAAGGTGAACAGATGTTGACGAGGTTAGCTGCAGAGGATGTCAAAATAAAATAAATTAATGCTTTCTTATCCTGACAGCAGGAATTAACAAAGAAATTAAAGAAGAGGGAGTACAGAGAGAGGGAGAGAAAGAGGAAAGAAGACAGAAGAGAGATTAGAAATGTAAGAGAAATCTAGAAAATGGAATGTGTCGAATAAAAAAAATACAGAAATAGGTTGAAAGAAACGAGACAGAGACGACGAGACAGAGAGACGACGAGACAGAGAAAGAAACTAGAGAGAGACAGAAACTAGAGAGAGACAGAAACTAGAGAGAGACAGAAACTAGAGAGAGACAGAAACTAGAGAGAGACAGAGAAAGAAACTAGAGAGAGACAGAGAAAGAAACGAGAGAGAGAGACAGAGAAATAAATGAGAGAAAGAGAGACAGAGAAAGAAACGAGAGAGAATAATAGGAAATAGAGGAGATAGAAAGAAGAAGAAACGAAGAGAGAGAGACAGAAAGAAAGAAATGAGAGAGAGAGAGGAGAGAAAGAAATAGAAAAGACAGAAAAGATCTGTAGGGGATTGCAGAATAATCAAAAGATATAGAAATAAATTGAAAGAGACAGAGAGTGAGAGAGAATAGAGATGAGAGAAAGAAATAGAAGAAAAGAGAGAGAGAGAGAGAATAAAGAGAGAGAAAGAAGAAATAGGAGAGAAAGACAAGACAGAGAAAAGAGAGACTAGAAATAAGAGGAAGGGCCAAGAGAGATGGAGAGAGATCTATAGGAAACTGCAGAATAATCAAAAATAGTTATAGAAATAAGTTGGAGGAAACAGAAACTGGTGGGATAATCAAAATAATTATAGAAATAAGGAATGAGGAAAGAGAGGTGGGATAGAAATAGAGAAATAGGAAAGAGAGGTGGGATAGAAATAGGGATAGAAATAGGAAAGAGAGGTGGGATAGAAATAGGAAAGGAGGTGGGATAGAAATAGGAAAGAAAGAGGAAAGAGGTGGAAATGGGATAGAAATAGGAAAGAAATAGGAAATAGGAATAGAAATAGGAAAGAGAGGTGGGAAATAGGAAAGAGAAATAGGAAAGAAAGAGAGGGATAGAAATAGGAATAGAGAGGTGGGATAGAAATAGGAAAGAGAGGTGGGATAGAAATGGGATAGAAATAGGAAAGAGAGGTGGGATAGAAATAGGAAAGAGAGGTGGGATAGAAATAGGAAAGAGAGGTGGGATAGAAATAGGAAAGAGAGGTGGGATAGAAATAGGAAAGAGAGGTGGGATAGAAATAGGAAAGAGAGGTGGGATAGAAATAGGAAAGAGGTGGGATAGAAATAGGAAAGAAAATAGAAATAGGAAAAGAGGTGGGATAGAAATAGGAAAGAAATAGGAAATAGGAAAGAGAGGTGGGATAGAAATAGGAAAGAGAGGTGGGATAGAAATAGGAAAGAGAGGTGGGATAGAAATAGGAAAGAAAATAGGAAAGAGAGGGAAATAGAAATAGGGGGATAGAAATAGGAAAGAGGGTGGGATAGAAATAGGGAAAGAGGTGGGATAGAAATAGGAAATAGGTGGGATAGAAATAGAAAGAGAGGTGGGATAGAAATAGAAAGAGGGATAGAAATAGGAAAGAGAGGTGGGATAGAAATAGGAAAGAGGGGGATAGAAATAGGAAAGAGGTGGGATAGGAAATAGGAAAGAGAAATAGGAAAGAGAGGTGGGATAGAAATAGGAAGAGGATAGAAATAGGAAAGAGAGGTGGGATAGAAATAGGATAGAAATAGGAAAGAGAGGTGGGATAGGAAAGAGAGGTGGGATAGAAATAGGAAAGAGAGGTGGGATAGTTTATAGAATAAAAAAGAGGTACATAGAAATAATTTGGGATAGAAATAAAAGAGGAAACAAAAAAATATCCAGAAATAGAAATAGGAAAAATAAAATAGGAAAGAGAGGTGGGATAGAAATAGGAAAGAGAGGTTACAGAAATAGAAATATATTCAGAGAGGGATAGAAATAAACAAGAGAGGTGGGATAAAATAGGAAAGAGAATGGGATAGAAATAGGAAAGAGAGGTGGGATAGATTATATATATATATATATATATATATATATATATATATAAATATATATATAGGAAGAGAGGTGGGATAGAAATAGGAAAGAGAGGTGGGATAGAAATAGAAAGAGAGAGAGAAATAGGAGAGATAGGAACAGAAATAGGAAAGAGAGGTGATAGAAAGAGAAATGGAAAGAAACGGAAAGAGAGGTGGGATAGAAATAGGAAAGAGGGGGAAATAGGAAAGAATAAAATGAAAGGTAGAAATAGGAAAGAGATAGAAATAGGAAAGAGAGGAATGAGAAAATAAATAAAAAATACACAGAAATAATTTGAAGAAACAAAAAGAGAAACAAAAAAATATCCAGAAAAGAGAAAGAGAGAGAGTGAGAGGAAAAATAGAGGAATGAGAAAATATATATATATATGTGATAGAGAAAACGGAGGAGGGGGGGAAATAAGAAAATGAGGTGGTAGAGAGAGGAGGGAATGAAAAATGAACTGATAGAATGAGAAAATGAGAGAAAGAGAATAAAAATGAACTGATAATGAAAGAGGAGATGAGAAAAAAAAAGGGTGATAGAGACAGTAATGAAAAAACAGCTTGATAGGAGGAGGAATTCAGTCATTGGAGAAAGAGTTGGTACAAAAATGAGAATGTAAAGGTAAAGCAAGGAGACAAAGTGAGTTAAAGAAACTGGTTCATTTCATTATGGCCTTCCTCCAATTTTATATCAGAGCTTTCAGACAATGGCATCAAGCAATATAGAATCATCTCAGTTGGGCAAGGAAGCAATCATCTGTCTTCTGTAATGGAGATCATATTCAAAGCAGGTGTTTGAAAGTTGGCAATGACTACAGAAGAGGGATGTGTGTTGAAAAGGAAAGTGTCATTTTGCAATGAAAAATAAAAAGGGAAGGGAAAAAAACAAAAACAAAAAAAAACAGGGAATTACCCTCAGTTGCTAATGGCTTACTCAAGAATTGGGGCAATACCCTTGACTTTTTTTAAAAATATCCCCTTTGCGTTTCCAATTGAAATACTTTGTAAATGCAATCCATAAGTTTAGTCTGTCACCGTCTCATCTTACCCACAAACTTATAGACTAACATGTACCAGTTTTTATTTTTATTAAATTATTTCACATAAATTTGAAATTAGTAAATCAAAATTATTTGTCTTATTATCTATCTCACTCTGTTCATATCTGGATGCATGTTATCCTTACGCATTCATGCATGCATGTTATCCGTATGTATGTACGCATGTTATCCATGTGTATGTATGTTATCTATCTATGTGCATTGTATGTATATGCATTATCTCTATGCATGTATGTTCATTATCTGTGTGTATCTATATGCTGTTATCTTTACAATTTTATATTTGTTTTTATCGAAGTTTGTTTATACATTTTCCCAGCTTTTTTGCATTGAATTTAAAGTAAATTCTTATCAAATTTTTGGAAGTGTGTGTGTGTAATTAATAAAACACGCACACACATTTCTTTTTGTTTCAATCTGATGAAGCCTAACTAGGGCAAAACGTGTAATCTAGCTGCGGCAAGGAAAAAACTCATGGGAGGAGCCATCGGCAGTGTGCAGTTTCAAACTTTCCTCCCACCGCCCAGCAGTGAGATCCCACAGTTTGAACCAGTCACAGTTTAGATTGTTGAGTTTAAGTGCTGTGTACAGTGCATCACCCTGGGGTCAGTAATTTTTTTCTCAGAGTACAACTCTGCTGATTTTGGCATAGCAAGCAGTCAGGGAATTGAAAGATGGCGATCCACGCCCGGTTGGAATGAAGCCAGAGGAAACTCTGGTAGAAATCCATTTGTCATATTCTTCAAACTTTGTGTAGATTCTATATTTGAGTTTATACACATTGTCAACACAGGAAAGTTATACTGAAAAATATGTAAATCTTACTTGCAACCCATTCTGAAAATTGGATAAGGATTTAATGAAAATTGGATAAGAATTCAATGCAGCAAAGCCGAGATTAATTGAAGCTATTCTGAAAATTGGATAAGGATTTACCTTAAATTCAATGCAGAAAAGCTGAGAGAATGTACAAAGAAATTTCGACAAAAAACAAAGAAAAATTGTAAAGAAAAAATAACTCAAAAGATAAGTCAAACTTTCTTCTTTCTTTCATCCCGAGAAATGCCAGCTTAGCAGAAAAAGTATTATTCTTTAAGCATATACACAAACATGGACATATTTCTTTCTTTTGCTTTAATCTGATCAAGAATAATGAGAGTGAAATGTGTAATCTAGTTTGAATGAAGCAGTTTTCCATCTGTCATCCTTCAAACTTTGGATTCTATATCCTATTTTATATACATTTATGCATCTCATTCTGTTCACTATCAGATAGTGAATGAATAATATATCCCTACAGATATACATGTTGCTGACTCCTTGCTGAAGAAAGGAGTGCTATCCTTTGAAGTCATTGTGTATGTCTTGTAAACCAGTAACCAGTTCCCATGGTTAAGAATACCAACTGTATCCTCTATAGAGTGGCAAGACCCACCATAAAGTGTGAATCTTCCAGGTGGATACTTACAGACTCCATTATAAACATAACCTATGTCTACCTTTTCCATTCGAGTGTAAACCAGACCTATGTCTAACATTTTATTTAATATAAAAAAGGACCTTATCAATAAATTTACATATCTATAAATTTAATGCGTATTTTGTCTGATAAAACTTCTACCTTAATCCTTTTGAGTACCCTGGGAAATATGTGTCCCACAGATGTTTTCAACACATCCTGTGGGACATAATTTTAAATGAAAATCCAGAAGATATTTGCTTCCTTCAAATGGTAAGACATTTAATAGCTGCATGGCTGATCTGGTAACACTTTTGGCAGTTTGTGAAATTTATTTTTCCGAAAACTTTTGGAATGATGCAATTTGAACATTATATATATATATATATATATATATATATATATATATAAAATAAACCTAATGGGAACTTGAAAGAGAAAGGAACTGAAAAAATTGAGCTGGTGTAAGGTCGAAGATTAAATACTGGTGGTGGCAACTGCAACTGGTGCACAATGTAGGATTGTGGGTAAGGGTAATGGTCATAAAAGGATCAAAAAGGCAGAGCTGGGGTTCTTTTCTATCTTAGTATTTGTGTGTAAATGTAGTCAACCTAAAGGAAGAAAATGGAGGAGGATATCAGACAGAGTTGTGAAGATATAGAAGACAACATGTTGGACATACACAGACAATAAGACGGAAATTTATTACATTCCCATTGTGAGCAAATTTGAGAGAAAACTGGGTAAGCCTAAGCTTTACTCTTCTGCCCTCAAATTATAAATGGATTATGAAGAAAAATAAATAGAAAGAATTAGTTTTAATTTTACTCATCTGAAAATGCCAACTTAAAGTTTGCAACATTTTAAAAATTATATAGTAACTCATTGCAGATTTTTCCACTGAGATCAATTGCTAACTCTACAGCAAGGAAATTTGGTTCACTGTGTCATGCTAGACAATTTTTCTTTCCAGAATCTATCTTACATATTTATAAATCTACCATTCGTCTATGCTTAAAATATTGTGCCACATCTCGTCTTGTGATCCTGCTATATATTTAGAGATTCTTGATAAAATCCAAAGAAGAATCTATCTTACATATTTATAAGTCTACCATTCACCCTTGCTTTGAATATTGCTACTACATCTGATCTGGTGCTCTTGCTGTATATTTAGAGATTCTTGATAAAACTTAAAAAGTGTTATAGGCATCTTGGCTTCAGTCATTTTCCCCCACTGCCACAACATAGCTTCCCAATGCCTTTTCTATACTTTCATGGTAACTGTTGTGATGAACTTTCCTCTATGGTACCTAAACTTTATGGATTTAAGCACAGTACTAGATTGGCAGCTAGGTCTCATTATTTTACAGATGAAATGGTTAGGTGCAAGCATAAATTCTTTGCTAACAGTTTCTTTTCTTGCATTTCTTATTTGTGGGACTCAACTTCTAGTTTCTTGCATTCCAGTTAACTTTGATCATCAAAAATTTAAATGCAATGTCAATTGTTATCTTCTGTCTTCATTGCTGTTCTTTTATGTTCCCTCTCAATGTTAACCTCCTGCATCTCAGTGGCTTTATTGCCTTGCTTGGGGTGAAATTATTTAAAAAATTCAGTGGCTTCATTGGGGAAGTGATGAAAAAAATACAAATAAAAACAGAAGAAGAAATATTTTTTTACTGTCATGCAATATTTGTTTACATTGAGTAGTACTTTTAGTATATATAATAATCTTAAGCAGTTTGAATTTCTGAGATGAAGCATTATCATTAATACTAATTTTTAACTAGTTTTTGATTCATATTTTTTTCATCTAGGTGCAAACTAGTAACAGAAATAACATGACTAGTAAAAAAAAAAAAAAAAAAAAAAAAGAAATAAAAATTTAAGATCTTTATAAAAAGGAAAAAATCAATTCAAATATACAGGTCATGACAAATACCTACCACATAATGGTAAGACATTAGCTAGATGAAGACACCATTGCCAATAATGTCTTACCATGATGTGGGAGGAATATGTAGAAGGTATTTCTGCCACACTGTATTAACACAAGAAAACTAGCTTTTACATGTGTGGAGGTGCTGAAAAGTAAACCCAATCCACTTCCCAAAATCTAAGCAGAGGATTAAGTAGTGATTTCCCAAGCGTAGCTTGGATGTGGCACAAGGCCAAAAGTAAGAGGCACCCAGTGAGGATCAAACTCACTACTCAGTCGTAATTGTTCTAGCAAGACAAGCTTGCTAACCATTACACCACCTCGAGGTGCCCTAGAGATTTTCCAAGCATAGCTTAGATGTGGCACAAGGCCGAAAGTATGGGGCATCCAGTGAGGATCGAACACTTTTCAGTAGTAACTGATCTAGCAAGCTAAGCTTGCTAACCATTACACCACACCAAGGGGCCCAGTGATTTTCCAAGTGTAGCTTAGATGTGGCACAAGGCCGAATGTAAGAGGCACCCAGTGAGGATCGAACTCGCTACTCATTCGTAATTGTTCTACCGAGACAAGCTTGCTAATCATTACACCACCTCGAGGTGCCCAACAGAGGATTAAGTATGAGAATTTTTTCTTGTAAGGGTTTCTAAGTTGGGCTGAGAACTTTTCATCATTGTCTTGCAAATTCTATGTCAATTGACTGTATTAAAGCAAGATTTTCAAGTCAATGACTCAATCAATATTAAGATAATTCATTTTGAAAAAGTGCAGATGACAATCCAATAATCAAGGAAATTATGCAGAAAATACAAGAATGTGAGAAAAATAGCTCACTAAAGAAAATATATACTGGTGTGAAAAGAAATTGAAAAAGTTATTGACAAAAATATCTTCAAAATGCAATAGAAAAAGATAAATTGTAAAATATATAAAATATCTTAAATGCAGTAAAAAGATCTTACTGTTAAGGAAAAAAGTGCGATGAAAAACATCAAATAGAAATTAGAGGTATTTGAGAAGTTAAAGGGCTTTTATTTCCTGTGAGCTACAAGTTTTGATCATTTGCTCATTTCAGGGTATTGTCTATCAGTCATGGGAGATTAAGAGTTTGTTTGGGGCATAACACAAGATATTAGTCGAGACAGATACATGTAGAAAATCAATATACATATGCAGTTAGTTGAGGAGACTTGTAAGAGAAATAGTCCATGAATTATTGCATTGTAACAAGGATAAGAGTACTAAAACGGCTAAGTGATATCTGTTCTTCTGTATGGCAGTGAATACTGGACAATCTCCTCACAGATGAAGACTTGAAGCAACAGAAGTGTGGTTCTACAGAAGGATGCTGAGGATACTGAACCGAACATGACATTAACAACAAAGTTTTTGAGAAAATGGAAACCAAAAGGGAAGTAATATTTAACATCAGGAAGAGACAGCTGAGGTTTCTAGAGCATATGAGGAAAGAGGGCTTGGAGAATCTGATACTCACAGGATAGATTAAAAGGCTAGAGGGACAGAGGAAGACAACAGATAACATAATGACCTTGAGTAAATGGATGGCAGAACAGGACTTAGAAGAAATAACAAAGAAAGCTTAAGAGCTATAAGGGACAGGAAGTTGTGGAGAGCCAGTAATGATACAGTCAAAATAAGTGAATCGCATTGTGAGTGATGACGGTCAATGGAACTATTAAAGTGATGAAGCTATTTGTAATCTAGTTGTTATGGAATGTATGATGGCTTTGTGTTTGCATGAAAGGAAAAGAAAAAAAAACTTGAGTAAGATTCCTGATAATTAAGCTATTCTGAATGTCATCAAAGGTAATATCCAGAGGCCATGATTACATGACATAAGTGTTTATCAGTAACACTTTGCAATAGGTCAAGATGCCGGCATAATTGTTTTGAAAAATATTGCTTCTTTAGCATTTGTAAAAATTAAAGATGTTACTCTACTTTTCTCTTCAAAATACCATATCTCTTGAAGACATCAGTGCCACAGATTCCATTTCTTTTTATCTGAATTGCCATGACTTATGAAAGATAGTCAAGTGATTTTTGGGTGCCTTCTCCACAGATTTCTTTTCTTTGTGGGGATAAAAAACAATCATCTCCCTTTGGTCAAGATGGAGCCATGCTGGTCACACGATGGCCACTTAGTGATGTCACTCAATACATTGATGAAAGTGGCAGTCCTCCATTTGGTTTACAGGAGTCAAACCAAGTGGTTGCTCTTTTAGCCCAAGCCAAGTGGCCTGGGCTGAAACTAAATCTGCCTCCTCCAGCATGTGGTACAGCTCAGAAGCACATGGTGCAATTTCCCTTTCCCAGATATAGAAAGAAACTATCTCTGGCTTGCAGACCTCAATTTCAGAAAATCTAAGTCATATGCCCTTGCTTGGGACATAGATGAATCTGGCCCACTTGAATCTAGAATCCTAAACATTGCTTCTCCAGAAACAGAAGAATCTCCACATTATGGGTATGTCCCTATCTTTTTGTTCTCCTTTCTCTCTGCTTGCTGTGCAGATGTGTTATATTTTTCTCTGTATGTGACATTTAGAATTGTATATATGACTTAGCAGCAAAAAAAAAACTGAGTACAAAGCATGTTTGACATTCCTTTATTTTTCTGCCATTCTGTTCCATCTGTGAACTACAGTGTTATTATATACCAGATAATAATACCTCTAACAGGAGAAATGTAAATGAGAGAACAAGTCTTTCTACCATAGCTCTCTTCTCTTATAGTGGTGACTATGACAATCTTATTTACCTGACATGTTTTTGTTTCAAACATGATTTTTTACCTCCTTAATTATCTGTGACCTGTCATGACATCATGGAAAAGATAGTGAAGTGGGTCCCTTCTTCAGATTCCTTTATTATCTGTGAATTGCCATGACTTCTTTGTTAAGAATGACTTCTCTACAGTTTTTGTTTCAGAATTTTTCTCCTAAACTAGCAGCTACCAAAGGCTAAAGAGTCTATCCTGTTATTTAATCCATATCTGGGGAGAAGAGCTGGATCAAGCCTTTCCCAAGAGCATTTTTGAAAAAAATGAATAAAGATAAGGCAAGAATTTGAACTCAAGTTGCCAATTCCCATTTCTGCGCTTATGGCTATTATACTAACCGCAGTTACTGAACTCTTAATTAAGTAATTCAGAGTTTTCCTTTTAGGCTAGCAGATGACCAAGGCTAGAGAGACCAGTATCCATTATGTCCTGCTATTTAATCTATAGTTGGGGGGGGGGGAGAAGTTCATATCCTTACCAAAGACATTTGATTTTGTGCAAAAGTGAATGTACTACATTAGGCGAAATTTGAACTCAGCTTACAGATTCTGCTTTCCATGCTAATGACCATTGCACCACCCACACATCTTTGAGTTTTCATGCTCTTTGACTGGTAGGCAACCAAGGCTAGAAAGCCCACTTTATTCTGGTATCAAATGCATAGTGCTTGATAAAGTACAGAAAAGAACTGTTGGAACCATTAGGAAAAGTGGAGAGCCATGACCACCTGTATCATGAAGGGACAGGTCTCACATATGTATACAAAGAGAGAAAGTAAATTCTAAAGTGTTATTGTAGTCATTGAATTAATGATTTTTTTCCACTTGTATTAAATATGAAATTAAAAGGCAAAATACCATGATCTTTTGTGTATGCATAGTGGGATTTATGCCTTTCCCAAGAGCACAATGCAAATGTGTGCACAACAGAATAAATGGGAATTTGAAATCAGTTTGGTATGGTTTATCAAGCACTTCTGCATAATTTATAGAACCTAAGTATTGATGTTGACTATGACTCAATTTTAGGTAATGCCATGGCTTGATCTATTCTCAAATATGGGCATTAAAGTGTAGTACTAGATTGAAAGCCAGGTCTCAATTTTACAGCTGAAATTGCTAAATAGAACTGTAAGTTCAAGCATTAAGGTTTTCTTTCATAATTCTTGCTTGTGGAACTCTTCTGATCTTGCTTTCCAAGGTTTAAATCAAATGTTAATCACTATCTTCTGTTGCAATTTCTGTTCTTTTATTATCCTTTTTCCCTAATAAAGTTTTTCTTTTTCACACTAGTGGCATTATTGCCTTGCTTGGGGTGAAATGATTATATAAAAAAAAAAAAAAAATCTATGATTGCCCATGTGTTGAATGGACATGGCACACAGTGTAAGAAAGTTATTAAACTGGTAAAGTTTAAAAAATATTCAGTATCATAAAAGGGGTGTTTAATAATTTGCAACAAATCTCAATAGGCAGAGGTCAGGAAGGAAAGTGTTGCTGAGTGTGATAGAAGATAGGAAATTGTGGAATGCTATAGTTGCACTCAAACTGAAAAAAGCATGAGAGAGGAGGAGAAAGGAAAAAAGAAAAAGGAGAGAAGGAAAAAGGAGAAAAGAAGGAGAGAAGGAAAAGGAGAAAAGAAGGAGAGAAGGAAAAAGGAGAAAAAAAGAAGGAGAGAAGGAAAAGGAGAAAAAAGAAGGAGAGAAGGAAAAGGAGAAAAAAAAGAAGGAGAGAAGGAAAAGGAGAAAAGAAGGAGAGAAGGAAAAGAGAAGGAAAAGGAGAAAGAAAAAAGGAGAAAAAGGAAAAGGAGAAAAGAAGGAGAGAAGGAAAAGGAGAAAAGAAAAGGAGAAAAGAAAGGAAAAAGGAGAAAAGAAGGAGAGAAGGAAAAAGGAGAAAAAGAAGGAGAGAAGGAAAAAGGAGAAAAAGAAGGAGAGAAGGAAAAGGAGGAAAAAGAAGGAGAGAAGGAGAAAAAGAAGGAGAGAAGGAAAAAGGAGAAAAAGAAGGAGAGAAGGAAAAAGGAGAAAAAGAAGGAGAGAAAGAAAAAAGAAGGAAAAGGAGAAAAAAGAAGGAAAAAAGGAGAAAAAGAAGAAAAAAAAAGGAGAAAAGAAGAATAGAAAAAGGAGAAAAAGAAGGAAAAGGGAAAAGGAGAAAAGAAGGAAAAAAAGGAGAAAAAGAAGGAGAAAAAGGAGAAAAAGAAGAAGGAAAAAAGGAGAAAAAAGAAGGAAAAAGGAGAAAAGAAGAGAAAAGGAGAAGAAGAAAGGAAAAAGGAGAAAAGAAGGAAAAGGAGAAGAAGGAAAAGGAGAAAAGAAGGAGAAGAAAAGAAGGAGAGAAGGAAAAGAAAAAGAAGGAGAGAAGGAAAAAGGAGAAAAGAAGGAGAGAAAAGAAAAAAAGGAGAAAAGGAGAGAAAGAAAAAGGAAAAAGGAGAAAAAGGAGAAAAAGAAGGAGAGAAGGAAAAAGGAGAAAAAGAAGGAGAGAAGGAAAAAGGAGAAAAAGAAGGAGAGAAGGAAAAAGGAGAAAAAGAAGGAGAGAAGGAAAAAGGAGAAAAAGAAAAAGAAGGAGAGAAAGAAAAAGAAGGAAAAAGGAGAAAAAGAAGGAGAGAGAAAAAAAAAAGAAAAAGATATTTCATGTAAACCACCGCTAATAACTTTTTGGAAAACAGCTGCTGTATTAGATCAATATCTTCAGTGACTGACGTATTGATAGAAAGATTAAATAAATGGAGATTTTCAGGTCTTGTAAAAATAAATAAATAAATGAAAGAAATTAGTAAAAGATTATCAGAAAATTGCTTAATTGCAAATTTGATGCATTCTAGATAACATTTATTTCTAAAAAGAAATTGAGTCCCGTTTAAAAATTGCAAGAAATACAAAATTAAATTAATGATTTCTGTATTTTGCTTTTAAGTTTGAGAACTTGGAAAAGAGGTTAATAGAAGAAATCAAATGAAATTTTGAAAAATTATCTTTTGCAAATTCACATGAAGTTAAATAGTGTGTGTGTGTGTGTGTGTTCCTAGCTTACATCAGATGGGGAGGAAAAAAACAAACAAAAAAAAAAACAGCCTGCAGTGTTTACTGCATTTTATGTTTATTAATAAAAAATGGTGTTTACAACATTAGCAGCAATATTTCATTTGCATAACAATTTTTAAAGGTATAGTAAATATTTCATCTGTCATTTATTTTTAATTCAAATTTTTAAAATTGCCATATATAAGTAATGTTTCTGTTGAAAAATTTATTTTTAAATTCATGTTTTGTATAGAAAAGATTTTTATCTATTTAAAAAAAATTCAGTCATAAGTTAGAAAACCTACAGTGTTCATAATAAGCATTGTTGTCATCAGCTATTTCACATTATTATAAATTAGTTTAATGAAGCTGAAAATGCTCCACATATGGAAGCAATATTCAGTGCATAGATAGTTGTTATTCTTATTAGTTATTGCTCACTGTTTCCACTCGGTGCAAGTACATACATTTTCTCTGTTTATAGGACAGGTAGGGTAGTAACCAAACTAAACAATTTTGTACAAAATAAATTTCAAAATATACCAAGTATTGCATTTTGTTATCCAATTTTTTCATTTTATTCTTTTTGTTAAAAAAAAATAGATGAACGCTTGTATCTTAACCAGATTGAGTATTATTGCTTATCATAAAATATTTTTCCATACTGAACTATTTACTTTTATTATTTTAAAAAAAAAAAAAAAAATTAAATATTTTGAAAGTCAAATAAACTATTGCTTTGCAAACAACATTAGTATCTTCAGCAAATATACTCCTCAGATGAAGATTAATCTGCACACATACATCGACACACAAGCTTTAATATACACTTAGACATATATAATATATATATATGTGTGTGTAAACATTCACACACAAATGCAAGCATTAATACATATATGCACACACACACATATATATATATATATATATATATATATATATATATATATATATATATATTCACATACAAGGTCTGAACAGCAAATATTAGGACTAGTGCTATAAAAAGAAAACTACAGCACATATCAATTCAGCATTTAATCTCCTTTGAAGTAGTCCCCCTTTTGAGACCACACACTTTATCCAGCATCATTTCCATTGTTGGAAGCATTCTTGGAACTTTTTGGGGGGATAGCAAGCAGATACCTTGTTGCATTCTCTTAGATTTCCTCAATGTTTTGAATCTTCCTCCTTTCAAGTGTGATTTGATTTTTGAAGAGGAAAAATTTGCAAGGGATGGGATTTGGGGAATTATGGTGGCTGTCGGATGTGGAGAACGTTGTACTTGACCAAAAACAGCTGCACAAACCATGGTCTGTGGTGCAGTGAGACAACCACACTCTACACACTTTTCTTCCAAGTGCTGCTATAAACAATGGGAGCGAGTGAGAACATTATTAGTGTTCATGCATGACAGAGTTCAAAGTCTATTGGTGCCAAGGGGCTTCACCCAGTGTACCTTAGCTCAGTTACCAATAGCCACAGTAATGCTACTTTTTTTTTTTTTTATCAGACCTTGTACATAAACAAATAAAAACATTAACACATGCTCACAGATACATAGACAGTCAAACATATATACACCAGCTCAAAAGCATGTATGAATACACATTCTCACATACATACAAATGCAAGCATTAACACACACATTAATATTTGCACACTGACACAAATGCAAACAGTAACAGTCACATGTATATACATTTATTATCACCCACACAAAAATGTAAGCATTAACACACCTACAGATATCACCCCTATACCTTGCATACACAGAAGAACTTGCGCAAATGCAAACAAATTATATACCTTGAGGAGATTGAGTATTTTTGCAGTCAACACTTACCTAACCCACTTATTCTAACTTTCCCACTTGAACAATGCAGACCCCCACTTGTGAAATTTTACTCTCCACATTGGATTCAAGCTTAAAACCTTAATCTCCCTCAGTCAGGTTCTTCTATTGTTTTACCCCCAGATCTTACTATTACTTATGTATTTAACCAAACATCTGTTTATCAATACCAGACGATCTACCTACTTACTTAAGATTCATGTTAGAATTCAAAAGAAAATCAATAAAGAATAGTGAAAATTTTCAGGAAAATATGGTTAAGTATATTTATGAGTTGAGTCAATATCTAGCAAAAAATAATATTTATTAGCTTGTTTGGAAAATAATGTTTGATCTTAGAATTAACTTTTATTCATGAATTATTGTCTTCAAACAGTGTAAATCAGTCAAAACCAGAACCCTGAACATTTATGTGTTTCTACCATTGAGTTAAAGATATTTATGTCCTTATGATTTTCCTCAATCTAGCTTTTTTATTAATATATTTTCTTTCAAATCACTGGTTCAGGTTTAGCTCATTGAAGTTAAGCAGCACAAATACACACATATATTATCATTCACATATATCTGATCAGCAAATATTAGGACGTGCTATAAAAAGAAAGTTTAGATGGGGGACTACTTGGGACAATTTGAAATATAGTTCAGCTTTAAATGCCCTACAAAGGGTAAAGTTGTAAAAGGAAAAAAAAAAAAAAAAAAAAAAAAAAAGTCACTTTCAAATTGCTATTTAGACTAATTCAAATTTTTCTCTTCCTCTATTTTTTTTTTTTTTTTTTTTAAATAAAAATGCCGTGCATTAATTCAATTTTAGGTCACATGTGTCCAAATTATAAAGAAAATATAACCAATAAAAAATAGCAAATTTTTTTCACACAATATGGGTTAATATAGTTATGAGGTTAACAAATAAAAAAAAAAAATAAAAAAAATAAAATAAATAAATAAAATAAAGTAAATAAATAAAAATAAATAAAATAAAATAAATAAAAAATTTAAAATAAATAAAATAAAAATTTATAAAAAAAAATAAAATAAATAAATAAAAAATTTAGGTTTTCAAAAATAATTTACAATTCAAAATAGGAACCCAGAACAGCTATACATTTATACTTATTTATCTTCACAATGGAATGTCTTGGCTTAAAAAAAAAAAAAAAAAAAAAAAGATTGTCAAAATGCTTGAAAATGTGGTAGTCAGTGGGTGAGTGATCAAGAGAATATAGTGGATGGGGCAAATTCTCATATCCTGTATAATAACATATTAGAACACAAAAAGTTTAGTTAAAAATTGGACATTATTTTTCAAACAACCTAATAATTTTGAAGAAAAAAAATTTTATTTCCAAAATTAATGTTATGCAAAAATGAATGTTAGTCTGAGAAAGTGCTAGGAGTCACACTCCTGGAGCTTAGAATCAGCCATGGCAACCATACATTTTTTTTAAAATAAATTCAGCCCAAGCAAGGTGATAAAGTGAATAAAAGGGGCTACTGGAAGTGAAAAAGAAAAAACCTAAGGAACTGGCAACCCAAAAATAGTATAAATTTCAGAGTTTCAGGAGTCGTTAGAAGTATAATTGAAGTAGACTTTAGAAGGAACCAGAAACCCACTACTAAACAGGAAACAAGGGATAAACCTGTAATCTTGTTTAAAAAAGAAAAAAAAAAAAAGAGTGTGAACTAAATGATAGTAGTATACAGGTGAACCTATCTTAAAATTGGTTCTTATCACTTGTTTAGTACATTCTGTAAGAGTTTCTGTAGCTTTCCTCCCATGTCTGCTACTAACAGTGTCATTTCTATATCTATTGTTAAGATCTTAGTTGCCAAAGATGAATCTTGGTAGAATCTAGCAGATTGGAAATCAATAACAAATCCCATAACAATTACTTTTTAATTTGATTTTTAATTTAAATTTCAAAAGCTGAATATGCAAATTAGTCATCGCCATTTAGCAAGTTTATTATAACTGGCAGGTTGACGTCATTTGATCCTCAAACATTGTAGATAAAAAAATGTTCAAAAACGCATCCTGGGAGATTTAAACTGACATCTATTTTCTTTTGGAAATGCATGTTCCCAGGGAAGCTCTCTAACTGATTAAGTGACAAGGGCTGAAGAAAAACTGTCAAATATAATTAACCTCTTCATGGCTGTGAACATTATAAGTATTCGTTTTGTTTGCAGAGTAAATATTCAAAAGCAAAGCATACCAAAATTGTTTGGTAAAAGTTTGTTACTGGTTTGTAAGCTGACTTTATGATGTAGTAAAAAAAAAAAAAAAAAAAGCAAGAAAAAAAGAGAAGTAACAAATAACGTTAACTTATGTGGCAGTTGCTGATACTTCCATATTAAAGAACAAACGAAAGCAAACTTGAAACCTATATATTGAATGTAATATATAATGTATTTCTATTCTGGGTTTTCCCTTATTTGATTTATATCCCCCCAATTCCCACAAAATTCTTTGCATATTTCCTTTAATATTTTTTTTGGGGTAGCATATTTTGAAATACCTTTTAAATACTCAAAACTCTATATTGCCCACTAAAATTTCCAATTGCCTAACATTTTCTGTTCAGTTGTTCATTGTCCACCCAACAGTTGAAATTACCCAAATTAGCGGGAGTTACAAACCAGGTTGGAAAACCCTGGTTTATATCATTAACTCTATAAGTATTAAATAGAGCAGTTTTCAGATTTTTGGCCAATATATTGTATGTTATTATGAACTGTTATCAATAGTGGCTT